GATTTTTTCCTTAAGCAACCGAAATCCTTAAGGTGGTGGGTTCTTAGGCCAAAAACATTAAGGCAATATTTATTTTGCAATTGGTTCTATCTTGGTAATTTGTCAACGTTAATTACGACATGCTTTCTCAAAGTGTGTGTGTGTGTGTGTGTGTGTGTGTATATATATATATATATATATATATAAACTTATACAAACAATGCCCTTTTTGGCTTTCTAAATTTTATTGTAACAAATCACGATATGAATTCACTCATACACGGTTTAAATTTAGACCCTGCTTGATCCAAAAAATTTCGGTTGTCACACACACTTACCTAGAGGACGGAAAACTGTCTCATAACTGGCCTACTGACCCCGGACAATCCAACCATCCATGGAACTTCCATCAACCCTACAACACTCGTGTATGCTAGCCATAAATAACGCTAGAAGCTATATACTTTCGAATACCCGATCCTAGCATATGCCCTTCATCAGACAAGAATATGAAATAAGGTCAAACCAAATATTCTGAGGCTATAAGATCTTAATTGTGTACAGTCGTGATGCATAAACTATGTAACTACAGTAATGATGTCAATTTCATATAAGGAAAAACCCTAGGCTATCAGATGTCATATAATTAGCCAATTCTAACGTATTATAATATCAAGTATCCGTATGGTATTTTAGGGTCTACTTACCGGCTCCGACAGTTTGTACACTCTGCATCCTACTTTAATATTCTGAAAACCATTTGAAAATCATTTTAAAAATCTTTTCCTTGGTTTGAGACTAGATTCCCAAAAGTGTCCCTCTAATTCGTTCAATGCAAGGCTCTAATACCAACTTGTAACATCAATAAAAATCATGCCAATTTATAACTTTTTAAATTATTCAAAAACCAACAATTATTAAAAATTTGTTTTCAAAATAGTTCCATATCAGAGTATCCCAGAAAAAAAAAGTCATAAAATGTGAGGAGATGCATGATCATCCCTTCGCCCTCCCCTGATATCTGAAGTACCTGAAACAAAATCCAAAATTGTAGGCCCGAAACTTATTGAGTTTCCCCAAAATACCGATACATAGAAAATAGCACATATACAAATAACAACATCTAATGTGTCCACTGCTCCATAGACTGGATTACCCATGAGCCCACAGTGTGAGTTGGGCAAGCCCCAGAGCCCACATCATAAGTCTGGATTGCTCTCGGGCCTACAACTTATGACTGGCTTGCTCCCTCAGTTAGGGTTTTTCTGACGTTTGGACACTGTATTGACTCGACGAGTTGTTTGGAAGCTCAGCGAGTAAACCAGGATTTCACGATTTCTCATATTCTAGAAGAACTCGACGAGTCAGTAGGCTACACTCGACGAGTTAGGTCAACATGGACTATTGACCTTGACTATTGACTTTGACTTTGACCAAGGGTTGACCAGTTTGACCTCTGGGGTCTTTTAGTAGTTTGGGAATTTGTGGAAGTGGATCACTAGTAGATGTAGGTGATTGAGTTTGGAGCTGCATTTGGGGAGTTTGACATTTATCATCCCAAGCTACATGCGAGTTGAGTTGTCCTTACTATACTTAGTAGTTGATGATATGTTAAGTATGATATAATTATGCATGCTAGTTACTATGTCAGTGTGGTAGATCTTTAGGACTACCTGCGTTACTGTTTGGTTATCTGTATGTGCCTTCAGTTGTTATTTGTCAACATGTTATGTGGAATGGGTTGAGGTTGTACTGCTCCGTGCGTTAGCCAACAAACTCTAGAGTATGCCTGATATGAGCTGAGTGTCGGGCAGGGCATGCCAGACTCATACTAAGGACTCCTAAGCATTCCAGATACGAGCTGAGGGTCGGGCAAGGCATGCCAGACTCGTAATGTGGGCTAATCTTTTGTAGAATATGAGAAATCGTGAAATCCTGGTTTACTCACTGAGTTTCCAAACAACTTGTCGAGCAAATACAGTGTCCAAATGTCAGAAAAAACCCTAACTGACTCGTCGAGTCGTCTTACTGACTCGACGAGTCCATGCAGAAACTACCAATGGCCAATCTTCATCTGAATCGTCGAGTTGACCATGAAACTCATCTAGTCCCTTCAGTCCATTTCCCACTCATACCTTTATAATTTACCCCAAAGTTCCAAATTGTAGAGCTAGCCTCTTAGGGCATGGTTTCCGTGTAAAGTTGCAAACTTTTCGTACATGCAAGGTTTTAAATGCCTAAACCAAGCTATGCGAGAGGTTTAAACCAAAGAGAAGGGCCAAAGCTTGATAAATTCAATAACTTTATAACTTTAAGGACTTAGAGGAGTCCAGATCTAAAGTTGAAACTTCAGAACATGCCTAATACCCGAAATGATCCACAAATATGCTAAAAAAAATGGACTTAAACCCAAGAATAAGGAGATCTAACACTAGAATGATCAAGGTAACAACATGTTATCTTCAAATAGATGTCAAAACGATGTAGATGTTGGATCTAAAATCTCCTTCCCGTTCCAAGCTTTTCAACCTTCGAACTTCTTCAACAAATGCACCAAAAACACTCTCTTAGCCTCACAAGCACAAAGAAGTAGTAAAGAATGGCTAGGGTTTCCTTTTCTGGGTAATGAGGTGATAAGGGAGGACAAAGGATGCGGGTTAAGTTTTTTAAAGAGTGTGCAAAACCTAAAAATTAGGGGTTTCCCATTCAGCTCCTACTCGTCGAGTAGACCATAAAATCACGCGGCCTGATCCGCTTCTACACGATGATTTGAGGCATCAAATTCATCGAGTAGGTCCAATAATGTAACTAATAAGCTTTAAATTTTATACATGGAAGTCGGCTTGTTACAAAAATAAACATGTAAAAATAATTTTTTAGGTTAGTGAAAAAAAGTTATTTAGCAAAATCAAATTATATAGACTACGGAGAATAAACACACAAAAATTTAGAAAAATGAATGATATAAATAACATTTTATAAAGTTAAAAGGTAAGGTGTCAAAGTGACATTTTAAAAACTATGTGGGTAGAAAAGCCACAAACTCATTAACATAAAGTATAAATATTACATAAATGGTCCATGTAGTTCTAACCATAGTTACAAATTCAATCTCTCCTATCTGAAGAAAAACTAAGTAAATAATAAAAAAATAAAAAAATAAAAAAATAAAAAAAAAATTAGTATTACACTAACCGAGAAAAAGTAACAGTATTAACAAAAAAAGCGTCACTAATTCAAGTTTTAAAATGTTCATAAAAAACAATTATCATCTTTCTTATTTTAAGTAAACCGCAACGACAATTTATGTAATTTTGTCTACTTTTTATATACATTAGGAAAATGAATTATAACCACAACGAAGTTTTCAAACCGTTCAAAAAACCCCAATTATGTTTTGTCTGTTCAAGAAAACCAAACGAACTTAACATTTTGTCCAAAAAGACCCAACTAACTTACACTTTTTATTTACGGGCAACCGGCTACTGAAAGTCAAAGAATGATGTGGCTTATGAGGTGTAATTAAATATCAAAAAATGACTTGTAAGACCAACGGAGTTTCAAAACCAATCAAAAAACTACAATTATGTTTTGTTTGTTGAACAAAAACCCAACGAACTTACACTTTTGTTCAATTGTCACTAGAGGCAACCGAGTTCATTTGGTATGCATCTAGTTGGAAAATGACATGACATTATATTTAATGATATGGAATAAACATATTAGAATTGCCCTTTATATATCAATTTAGGGCTTGGAGAAGAGAAAAACAAACAACATCTGTGTTCGATCTCTTGTAATAGCTACTTCTTCTTCCTCTTAATCGTTGATGTCCAACTTAAGATCTACAAAGAAGATATTTGACTATGCAAACTTTTGTGGATATAGACGCCCTTCTCGGATTTGAACATCTAGAATGGAGGATCATCGAGAGATAATGTTTAGGGCTTGTTCGAATAGATTGGTAAGTGTAATTGAAAGTTTTATCATGCCCATTTTAATAAGTTTTTGTTTTTGAAAAAAACCAAACAAATAGATAGAATATGGACATTATAAAGCTTTCAATTACACTTACGCATCTATTCGAACAAGCTCTGAATATTTTTCTTTGAATTATCCTCCGTTCTAGATGTCTAAATCCAAGAAGGGCGTATATATCCGCAAGGGTTTTCATCATCAAATATCTTCTTTGTAGATCTTGATTTGGACATCAACGATTGAGAGGAAGAATAAGAAGTAGCTATTACAAGAGATCGAACACAGACACCGTTAATTTTTCTCTTCTCCAAACACTAAATCGATATATATACGGGTAATTCTAATATGTTTATTCCATGTCATTAAATATAATGTCGTGTCATTTGCCAACTTGTTGTATACATAATGAATCTGGTTGCTTCTAATGAGAATTGAACAAAAGCATAAGTTCGATTGGTTTTTTTCAAGAAACAAAACATAATTGGGGTTTTTTGAATGGTTTTGAAACTTTGTTGGTCTTCCAAATCATTTTCTGATATTTAATTATACGTTATCAGTAATGTCATTCGTTGACTTTCATTAGTCGGTTGACCCTAAATTAGAAGTGAACGAAAGTGTAAGTTAGTTGAGTTTTTTTAGACAAAATGTTAAGTTTGTTGTGCTTTCGTGAAGAGACAAAAAATAATTGTGTTTTTTGAAGGGTGTGAAAACTTTATTGGCCTTATAAGTCATTTTCCATTTATATATTAAAGAATACGATTTCTTCATGAGTGCAAACCGAGCGTTTTCACTATCTATAAGGAAAAGACTTACGAAAATTTTATAAATTCTACAACCTTATTTCTTCATGAGAGCAAACCGAGCGTTTTCACTATCTATAAGGAAAAGACTTAAGAAAATGTTAAAAATATATATATTGAAGATCCAATATACCTTTTTATTGATACCAAAAGAAATTTGAATGATGTTCCATAGAACAAAGTACAATGAGGAGTTTAGTATAGACTTATGCATTGTTAATATTATCATATCAAAATCATAGTTTACCAATTAACAATGTGGATAGGTTTTTCGTGTGCAAGTAATGGAACTTTTTTATGATTAGCCACACCACATCTTTCAGTCATATCAACGTCCTCTGGGTTCACACCATGTGGCAGCGACCAATCAAAGTTGCAGAGAACAGTAGCGAGCACCTTCTCAATGATGGCCATGGCAAAAACCCTTCCAGGGCAACTCCTTCTTCCAGCACCAAATGGAAGTAACTCGAAATTATGCCTTACGAAATCAATAGATGACTCCACGAACCTCTCTGGAAGAAACGTGTCAGCTTGATCCCATACTTTAGAATCCCTCATAATTTCATAAACATTTACGTATACTCTTGTTCCTTCAGCAATATCGTACCCCATTACGTTGACATCATATCATGCGACTCTAGGTGGTAGAAGGGCAAGTGGAGGATGGAGGCGTGTGGTTTCCATTATCACGGCTTTAAGATACCTCATCTTTCCCAGATCTTCATCGCTTATCTCTTTCTTTCCATTAAGGACACTCCTTACCTCATCCTGGACTTTCTTCATGTTATTCGGATTTAACAGCAGCTCAGTCATCACCCATTCCAGTACCAATGAAGATGTATCTGTCCCACCAACATACGCATCCTACATACAAAATCAGTGCAAAAATCTTTTAGTAACAACCATGATTCACTTGTTTTTTTTATTTATTTATAGACTTTGATATTAAGATAATGGGAAATGCATACCAAGAGGAGAGCTTTGACCACATCCCCATCGATGGTGATGCCAATGTTATCATCTTTCTGAATCTTAAGCAAAGCTTCAATGAAGCTTTCCACGCCATTTTCACCAACTCCGGTGGGATTACTGATCACTTTCTTCATTGTCTCATCGACTACACCTTGTAGGAACTCATCAAATTCTAATGCGACCCTATCGACTTTAGCAGTAAGACCTCTAACACGATCAACCACCGCAAGCAGAGGAAAAGAGTCCTCCAAATAAAAGCTCCCCAACACCTCCAAGAACTCTTGCATTATCTTCTTGAATTTCCTCCCAATCTCCCCTTCATTGTACGTCCTCCCAAACGTAGCCAAACACGTCACATCGTTTGAAAGCGAGCAAAACAAGTCGCTCAAGTCTACAGGTTTGTTAGATAAGAAACACTGGGTGATTTTATGCACACAATCCGCAATTACCTTCTCCCTCAACCCATCAAAAGTTTGAACCTTTTTATTACTTAGAAGCTGCAAAGTCAAAATGCTCTTTGCTTGCCTCCAGTATTCACCATATGGAGCTAATGTTAGTTCCTTGAGGTTGTAGGAGATGGTTCTGAACATCCTTGTGCTTGGCCTACTAGCAAATGCGATATCATGTGTTTTCATGATCTCACGAGCAGCTTCTGATGACGACACCACCAGGCTTGGGACTGAGCCGAGGTAGAGGAGCATGAGCGAATCACCATAGCTTCGGGCAAGAGATAAAAAGGATTGGTGGACGAGTGCACCGAGCTGGTGGAGGTTTCCTATAACCAGCAACTTTGGTGGTGATGGTGGTAGTTTCTTGGTGGACGATGACTTAGAATTGTACAGCCTCAACAGTACGAATGTAGCACCAAGATACAAAGGTAAACTGTAGATTGGTAGCTTCTCCAAGAAACTCCACACCTTGTTTCTGAATAAGTGAGAGTTTATGTTAAGGAGACTAATTATAATCGAAGTTTTTTAAGATCCACCCCAATACGACTGTCCACACTAAGTCCTGTTTGTGATCATTGTGCGAGGGGAGAATGACGATAAAGAAACAATAAATAAAGAAAAATTGTAAGAATATTGGTTTTGTGTGAAACCTCATAGAAAATAGGAAATTAGTTTTAGAAAGTGTATTATGAAAATTGTTTTAGTTGAAAAGTTAATGTCACATAAATGCAATAATACTAGTCACACTCTTCGTGCCCTTTTTATATCAATCCGGTCAATTTGCGTTAATCTACTAGAAGAAAACATTAAAAATTTATTTCAACATAACCTTAAAAATATTTTTAAAATATATTCGAATAAAGCATCAAAAATATAAATAAAATAAAACTTCAAAAAAACATTAGGTAAATTTTTATAATTAAAAACAATAAATATATAACCCCAATTGTAAAATACGTACAATTTTCATTTTCTTGCTACTTCATGACCATCAATTTTGATGGGTTTTTAGAGTGAAAACCTGAAAGTTTTAAATAATTTTGATGGGTTTTTAGCAGCTGAAAAGCTGAAAGTTTTAAATATTCTTGATTTTTATACATTTAGTGGCTTAGTTTAAAAGTGTACATGTTATATATTTTGTTTTCCCTAAAGAGACATGCATGATTTTATTAGATACAGTCCATTAAACATTACCATTTATCACTATGAACTTTTGGTTGTATGTCGTTTTGGTACTTTTGTAATTGAACTAATGATTAGAGTATTTACTGATTATTTCATATTTTTTTTCTTCAAAATTTCAATAGAGACCAATATTTATAATGAACCAAATAATCAATCAATATAATAATCAACCGTCAAGAAAACTATTGTAGATTTATATATTGGATGTTAATGCATCAAATTATAACAGAAAATATCATTTTGTTTTTTTTTTTAATTTTTTTGATAATGTTTATTTATAAAAAATAAAATAGAAAATACAAAAATTCATAATTTTTTATCTTCTTTCCACTAACATCAACATTAATTGTAGAAAACAAACATTTGTTTTGAAAAAAAAACCACTTCATTTTATTATTATTTTTGTACAATATTTAGCTTTACTTTTTATCCAAAATAACAAAATGAGTAAATTACTGAAATGGTCCCTATGGTTTGGTCAAAATTACACGTTTGATCCCTAATTTTTTTTTCCACTCGGATTGTCCATTGGTTTGATTTTGTTGCGTTTTTCGTCCATTACATACATAAAGTTATGGACTAAACGTGCAATTTTGACCAAACCATAAGGACGAAAAGCGCAATAAAATCAAACCCAAGGGACAATCTGAGTGTAAAAAAAAAATTTAAGGATTAAACGTGAAATTTTGACCAAATCATATGGACGATTTCAGTAATTTACTCTAACAAAATATATACTACAATTCTTAATTTTTTGTCATCTATAAATAAACATCAACATTGATATATATATATATATATATATATATATATATATATATATATATATATATATATATATATATATATATATATATATATATATATATATGACTAAACTGCACAAATGGTCCCTGTGGTTTGCTGAAAATTGTCACTTAACATAGGTCCAAAGTTTTCATTTTATTGCGAGTTTGATCCAATTTACTTTAAACTTTTTTGAAATGACGATTTTACCCTTCTTTTTTATTTTTTCAGTTTATTTATTTATTTATATATTTTTATGATTAAAAAAGTTAATATAAATTTACCCCCCTCTCTCTTTCTCTCTTAAAAAAACTATTCTCTCTCTCTCTCTCTCTTTCTCTCTCTCTCTCTCTCTCTCTCTCTCTCTCTCTTTCTTTCTCTCTCTCTCTCTCTCTCTCTATCTCTATCTCTCTGTCTCTTTAAAAATACAAAACACTCAAGAACACACATTGAAACTCAGGAACACATATTCATATTCATGAACACATACACAAACACTCCATATTTTTTATATGTATTCTCCAAACACACACACTCAAGAAAACATACATGAAATCAGATCCGATGAAGGGTTTTCTAATGAACACATTCAAGAAGACGAAATCAGATCGAGTAATGGGTCTCTGATCTCATCCTTAGATGACGATCTCATCCTCCTCTTCCTCCTGATAAAAGAAGCCCTAGTATGAAACTCTACGACCCGGTCATCGTTAACAACCATAACGAATCAAGATCTAGCAGGGTGTTGAAGGCGGTAGCGGCTGGGGTTTAGACTTGTTTCCTCCTCGTTGCCATTCTCAATGTAGATCTATCCAGCCATCACGTTTCTCCTTGTCACCCCCATCTCTGAGACGAATCTGTAACAGGTTAGGGTTTGTAATGGTGGCAAGCTGAAACCTTAGTAATGGCGGCGCTGGACTCAACCTAATCGACCGAGGTGTGGCGACCACCACCTCTTTACAAACCCTTCTCAAATCT